TTGAAGCTGAGCTCGATGCTCCTGGAGACTTTGCGACCGAGCCACGCCACCACGGGCACCATGCCCCAACCAACCACCACGGCCCGCGCCGTCTTCAATGCTCTGCCGAGGGTAGCCCCGAGGCAATGTGCCCAACAATGCACTCGACTCATGTCGACAGCGCGCAGTGCGCCCACGAAGCGACCGACAGCTCCGAACCCCGCCAGATTCCAATCCCAGCCCTACCCGCCATTGGTGCAGCGCCGGTTCAAGTTCAACACAGTGGAGGAGGCAAAGAGCCGGTATAGGTCAGGGGTACGTTTTGCAAAACCTGGGTTGTGGGATGTCGGGTAGCGGCTAACCTTGTTGTCGTCTAGCCCTTCTCGTGGAAAGGCCCGGGCTTCTGTTCATCGTCACCGGCGCCGGCCTGGTCTGGTATTTTGAGAACGAAAAGGATCGGATGCAACGCAAGAGGATAGCAGAGGCGAACAAGGGCGTGGGCAAGCCCAAAGGTGGGCGGGCCGTTCGAGTTGATCGACCAGAACGGGAATAAGGTGACAGACCAAGACCTGAAGGGGCGGTACTCTCTGGTGTGTACTACCCTGCTGCCATAGGGCCGGAGATGGGCCTCATGCTGACTCTCTTCGCTAGGTCTACTTTGGCTTCACCCACTGCCCCGACATTTGCCCCGAGGAACTGGACAAGATGGCGCGGATGTTTGACCTGGTTGAGCAGCAGCGCCCTGGGGTCATGACCCCACTCTTTGTTACTTGCGACCCGGCGCGCGACGGGCCCAAGGAGATGAAGGAGTATTTGGCCGAGTTCCACCCCAAGTTCATTGGCCTGACGGGCACATATGAACAAATCAAGGCCATGTGCAAGGCATACCGCGTCTATTTTAGCACACCGAGCGAGGTTAAGCCGGGCCAGGACTATCTGGTCGACCACAGCATCTACTTTTATCTGATGGATCCCGAGGGAGACTTTGTCGAGGCCCTTGGGCGGCAACACTCGCCAGACCAAGCCGCCAAAGTCATCCTAGACCACATGAAGGAATGGAGGGGGCCATTAAAAAGGAGCTGAAGTTGGATAGCCAGGCGACTAACTCACTGTACAAAAAATGTACCATATCTCCACTTGTTTGACTCAGAAATTGGTGGTGCACATGCATGTGTACACACTTTTTTGGTCAGTCAAGTTCTTCTGCCGTCCACATCCCAAAACGCAAATTGCAGCCCATTCGTTGAACGGGAAAACCCTGGCATCCAGAGAATCCGGCACGTGCAATTCCAGACTTTCGGGTTCTCCAAGGGGACATGCAGAATGGCACGGTGGCTGCAGCCCATCTACGTCATCCTGGTTGGGCACGAGCCCATCAACGCCTATCTCGATGTAGTGGGGCTTGGGACCCCCGAAATGCAACCGCCATAGCCCCGCCGAGATCAGGTTCCCGACCGATACCTGCCGTTTTGAGCCAGAAGAACTTTTAATTTCTTTTGGGCTGCAGTTTCCCATGTGAGCGCCCTTCCATTTGCTTCGTCCGAAAACTCAACACCAAAACTCGACTTTTTGTAGACCCGAAACATCTCTAGCTCGATCCCTGCTCGAATCAGACAGCCCCATCCTTGAAAAGCTTATCGCGCCCCTGTCTTCTTGCGGAACTTGATCACGCGGGGTCTCCATCAATTGCTGGCGCTTGGGCACACAACCACCTGACCTCTCTGTTCAGTATCATTACCTTTACCGCTTTTGTCAATTGAAGCCAACTGGGAGAAAGAAACCGCCCGCAGTTCGCCCTGCATTCTATCACCGACGCCACCATGTCTGCACCGTCCCCGGGAAATCCAGTCCAACCAAGGCGCTCTGCCTTGAAGATGGACGGTGACGGCGAGAGGGCACCCCCTTCAAGTGCGCCAGTCAAAGGTTGGTACTTTCCCTTCCTACTCGTCACCCCCCCAGCCGTCTGTTTTACGCCCTCAGCTAGCGCGTGGCAGAATTGGCAAGAAGCCATCTCTCATTTGCCCAAGCCCATTCGTGTGGCACTTGAAACGCGCAGTCTTATCGCCCAGGAAACACAACCTGCTCCGGCCATCCCAGTGGGTAGCCACTGATTCCGCACCCGTTCCTCGATCACCTCATCTTATACCTCCTCTTCTCCTCCCTAAACCTTATATTAATACGTAGCAGCTGTTCAGATCGCTGAGCCCCAGTCCTCATCATCTCCCGACGAGTCACAGGTGAAGAAGCAATTTTCTGCGGGTGTTGCCAAGCGGCTCAGTGGACGGCCTCCTCTATCTACTACCCCTTCGCGGTCTTCTACCCTCAGTCAGTTTAGCATGGAAAGCGGTCCTGATTCTGCACCCGTTACCCCCGCCGCCTCTGCCGAAGATCCCCAGAGCCACCAACCCCATTCTCATCACCGTCACCGGCTGGATCTGGGCACCGAGCGGCTCTTATCCCAGGTGGCAGAGTGGCTCGAACGGGAGAAGACTAAGAAGAAGAACCAGGGGTCCCGGAGGCCCCATTTACGGCGGAGATCACCCCCCAGCAATGTCGACATTCCAACCCCAGCCCCTGGTAGAGCCCGAGCCGACTCCATTGAGTCTGACTCGAGCGAAGTGTCCCTCGACCGGCTGCAGAGAATCCTGGACGACAACGCGGCCGCCCTGGGCTTGAATTCCCTCTCACAGCTCGTCTCACGTTTTGGGCGGAGACACCGGAGGAAATCGTCGAGTAAAACTTTCGCCCGGACCGCGTCGTCCGACACCGAGTGGTTCGACGGCGATGTCGTGGTCCCAGGATGCGATGCCGTGCTCGACAACTCCAAAACTCTTGCTTATACCGGTGGCAAAGCCGGCGCCGACGATTCTGCCTCCATCTCGAGCCGCAAAGAGGAGAAGGAAAGGCAGAACTGGACCGCGTTCAAGAACGAGATCATCCGTCTGGCGCACACCCTACGGCTCAAAGGCTGGAAGCGCGTTCCGCTAGATAGCGGCGAGAGCATCTCGGTTGAACGCCTTAGCGGGGCCTTGACCAACGCTGTCTACGTGGTTTCGCCGCCCTCCGACTCCCTTTTACCCCGGGAACCCGGCAAGAAACAACCGGGCAAGGTACTGCTGAGAATCATACGGGCCCCAAGTGGAGCATCTGATCGACCGAGAGAACGAGCTGAGGCAGTGCTTAGGCGGCTCGCCCGCAAGAAGATCGGCCCTCGGCTCCTGGGGACGTTCCAGAATGGTAGGTTCGAACAGTACCTGAATGCCACCGCACTCACCCCGGGGAGCATGCGGGAGCCCGAAACATCCAGGCAGATTGCCAAACGAATGCGGGAGCTGCACGACGGAGTTGAGCTGCTTAGCGAGGAGAGGGACCAGGGGCCGGGGGTGTGGAAGAACTGGGACAAGTGGCTCAGCCAGGTCGAGAAGACAGTCTTGTTCCTCGATAGACAGATTCTTTCCAATTCCCAGAGCCTGCCAGCCGCGCATGGCTTCGTCTGTGGCGTGCAGTGGCCCGTCTTCAAAGCCCTCGTAGACAAGTACCGCCGCCATCTAGAAGCCCATTACGGTAACGCCAAAAACATGCGCGACAAGCTCGTTTTTGCCCACAACGATGTAAGCTCCTCTCATCTTCGTCGCCGCTCGAACCACCCGCCTAACCCAGTGCCTCCACAGACCCAATATGGCAACATTCTCCGCGTGCGGCCCGATGACCAGAAATCACCGCTCCTCCAGCCCGCCAACGAACACAAGCAGCTCGTCGTCATCGACTTTCGAGTACGCCGCCGCCAACTTGCCCGGCCTCGAATTCGCGAACCACTTTTACCGAGTGGGCCTACAATTACCACGACCCCGTCGGCCCTACGCTTGCGACACGACGCGTTACCCGACCCCGGACCAGCAGCACCACTTCGTCAAGGCCTTACGTCACCACCGACCGCAATTTCCTTACGTTGATACTCCCGCCGCCAGCCCCCCAGGGCCCCGGCATGGCGTCATCGTCGCCGTCTGTCAGCGGCATCAGCATGCATGCCGTCCCCTCGTCTAGCTCCATCGTCGAGTTCATGCTGGATGCGCGCGTACCCGCAGGCGGCTGGAAAGGAGGAGGAGCGCAAGGGCGAGGAGGTCGTTTCGGGCAGGGTGGAGGCGCTGCTTGAAGAGACTAGGCTGTGGCGCACGGCCAACAGCGCGCAGTGGGTTGCCTGGGGGATTGTGCAGGCCAAGGTTCCGGGGTTGGAGGGTGCTGACGGGGAGAGTGGTGCTGGGGAGGTTGAGGGCGGGGTGGAGAAGGGGGAAGCCGCTAACGGGGAGACGGAGAGCGAGGATGATGCGGAAGAGGAGTTCGATTACCTCTCTTATGCCCAGGAGCGGGCCCTCTTCTTCCTTGGGGATTGTGTCTTGCTGGGGCTGGTCAAGGCTGAGGAGCTGGGCGAGGAGGTGCGCTCGAGGATCAAGTTGGTGGAGTACTAGCGTGAGGGGGGGTTGGGATGCCCGGTCTTTCCACCTCGCCCCGTCCCGCTGGAGGAGGGGGTTCTCGGTGGGATATTGGTGTGAAGAGCTAGACAATGGATATGCAGGAAACGGAGGAGGCTGGCTTGACTTGGGTACGGCGAAGGGGGGGTAGGCCGCCTCGCGGAGTCAGGCGTGACCAGGGTATGTAGTATGTTGGCCCATATCGGTGGTGGTATGGTATCCCAGTAAATATTTTGTAATGATCAACTCAGAATAAGCGTTTTACTGGAATTTTGCATCATCTCAACAGCTGTTACTCTGTGAAAAATGCCCGGTCTCTGCCGGCTGGCCATGGCCCCTCTCAGCTTTGGGACGAGACCACCCGGTTGTTGGGGCGGTTTCGGTGATGTTGCACCGGCCTGGCTGAAGTTGGTGGTTTGGTGCTCGTTGGCCGGGAGTTTTGCTGTCTCAAACTGCGGCTGTAGGCGGGGGTGCGGCGCGGGGATGGTGTCTTTGCGGCGGTCGTTTCCCGCTCATGTTCTAGCCTGGGGGAAGGGGAGGAGGGGTAGTGGGGATGAGACACGGGAGGTTGGGGGGTTGGGGTTCCCGGCAGCCCGGCGGCGTGGGTGGTCGGTCTTTGGGACCAGATGGTCGGGTCTGAATATTGTTTTGAGATGGGTGGTTGATAAAACGGTGTGATGGAGGTGGGTGTGTTGGTGGTGTTGTGTGGATGTTGTTGTTGTTGTTGTTGTTGTTGTTGTTGTTGTTGTTGTTGTTGTTGTTGTTGTTGTTGGTCGGAGGTTTCTGGACTTGAGTTGTGGCGAGGAGGTAGCTAGCTATGCGGCGTGGCATGCATACTAAAACACTAGACCACTATCACCATATGTTCTGGTGGTTTTGTTGGGCGGTAGGTGGTACCGGAGAGTGTGGCATCACGCCCGAGGGTTTCGGCTTCGGCTGTGCCGTCTCAATTGGGTCTTTGAGCATGGCCTGTATGACGACACAACTCGGTTGGTGGGTGCAATGCGGGAGGATTCGGCCCCCGGTTACCTTATTTGGACGGCACGGAATAAACACTATTGAAAATGGTGTTTTATTGGCCTTGGGTGTTGAAGCTTTGAGGTGGTAATGGTGATGTTTGTAGCCCCTGTCGAGGACCAACAGTGCTGGGAACGGTGTAAGTGAAGTACGAAGGAACTTGGTGGGCTTCGAGTGTCGGTCGCGGTGTGGTTAGATCACAGATCTCGAAAAAAAAAAATGAAACAGGTTCTGGCCGTCCAGCTGGTATTGTCAACTACCCAACTATCACGCAACTACCAGCATCTACTCAGTAACCAACCTGCCCCGACCTGAGTTTCCAATCTCCTCACACAGCTACCAGTATAGCAAAAGCCCAACCCCTATCAACGGCGCAAAATACCAACTCACCACCCCCGGTGGCACCAGCCGGGGATCTCATCAGGGTCGGGGGCGTACCAGCCTCAGCGGGTTGCCCACCAGCAGCAGCAGACAGCGCACCGCGCTGCTTGGCCATCCTAGCGGCGACCATCAGATCAGCTTGACAACCTCGGCGTAGCGGGCCGAGGGCCTCACGCGAGCGAGCGGCGGCGCGGAGATCTGTATGTCTGATACCCCGGCTGTGGTGCCGTTGGTGCCGCTAGGGTAGGTGGTGGATGAGGCTGCCCTCTCAATGTAGTGGGGGCAATTACGGTTGTAGATTTTGAGGTTGGCGTCGTTGGGGTTTGGTTCGTTGTAGGCAGGGGGTGCTGTGCCCTTGGGGGAGGGAGATCTGTTGGCGACAGTACCTGCAGCGGAATTCGGTCCGTTGGTATTGGTACATGTTTGGTTTTGTTTGGGGTTTTGGGTTTGCAAAATGAGGTTGGGGGCGTGGCAACGGGGCTATGGAAGTTACGTAGCCTTGAATCTAGAAAGGTTCTGTCGTTTCGAGTCGTGTGTTGCCTTTGGTTGGCCGTGGTTTTTGGTTTGAGAGAAGCTAGAGTGTAGCATGATGGTGGATGGGATTATATACTGGCCTACCACATCCTATGAAACACAGTGCCGTCCAGGTCAGGCACAAACAGACCTCTTCCAGCTTCACCCCCTTTCGTTTCCCCTTTAGGCCATCTCTGTCTAGCCACATCACTCGCCCCCCAGATACAAGTGACTGTCAGAGGCCCCAAAACGAAAACCGGCTCTTGTTGTGGGGACTGTCTGAACGGATGGTTGATGACTTGAGAACTCTACCACATATCACGTCAATGTCTGTTAAAGAGACCAAAACCGCGATCCAAGGACCCCGTAATGTTGAAACGGCGAGGGTCCGGCCAAGCCCTCGCTGCGACGAATTTGCTTCCATATCACGAAGCATGCCCGTAAGACACGGCGAGAAGAACTGGTCCAGGTACCTGGGTCACTCCCTAGTCGACCACTAGTGATAGAAAGTATTCTTGCTCAGTGATTGCCCCCGGCGCGGCAAGTGGTCCCTACTCCCAAACGTGCCGATATTGTCGCAGTAAGATATCAGCTATGGCTAGCAGCGACAGCTTAAAGCACAAAACTGACGAGGCGTATTTGTGTTCAGGGTTGGCAATGACGGTAGTCACATGGTGTGGAAGACTGGAGGAGTTTATTAGGTTATTGCCGACATACATGGTCAGCCAGACGCATTGGGCGGAA